GTGTGTGTGTGTGTGTGTGTGTGTGTGTGTGTGTGTGTGTGCAGTCTCAGGGCAACTGTTACACAAGCTCAATGTAAAGAAAAAGAAGGAAGAAGTTAAAAATACAACTCAAAAATAATAAAATAACCATTTTACTGAGAATATTCTGAAACTTTAAATCATCATGGAAACAAGCTTTTTTCTGTTTATCCTCATTTTACTTTTTAACTTTTCTGTTTTTTTACATAAATTCTGTCCACATTATCTTCCTTTAACAGAAAACAGAAAAATCCTGTGAGAAACTTTGACTCAAATAAAAGCCTCTGAGTTGATTCATCTTGCTTTTTTTTTTCTTCTTGTGGAAAATGACTCCCATCTGCAGGTTGCCTTTTTTTGTTTCGTTCCAGAAAAAACTAAAACATAAAACAACCAAACTTTAAAAGCAATCTTAACGTTTCATGTTTCTATTTTGAAAGATGTTTTGAGGAAAATAGTAATAATAAAAAAAGAAATCATCACTCACCGGCTGACCATGCTGCTGTTTACACTCTGAACACTTTCTTGTCTCAGAAATGTTGCAAAAGAAACTCTGGTTTGGATTTAAACCGCACACATTTCCTGCAGGAAGGAATGGAAACTGACACCCCTCCTTCTCCTCCATCTTTTCGTTTTCCCTCCTCCCCTCTTCCATCCTGCCTCCCTCTCCTCTCCTCTTTCATGTGTTTTGCTCCCACTTTCTCCCCCCTCCTTCTCAGACACCCTCCCCACCAAAAGCTGAACAAATCAGCTTTGTCTTCTCTCTTTTCAACAGCCTGTCTTCAGCTCCACGCTGGACCTGAACAAGGTTCTTGTCCAATCTGGGAACATGAACTCTACATAAAAAACAACAACTGAGGGTCAGACTTTACACGTCAGTGTCTGCTGAGAAGCACACAGAAACAATTCTGCCTAATTAGTTCCAGATTATAAACAAACACTTCGAGTGGACCATTTAAGGGRAAAGAAACAAGAGAAAAGAAGTCAGTGAATGCATCTGGTTGTCATTTTGATCAATTAAAGCTTAGTTTCTTAACAGAGTTTTGTCAGAGCAGAAATCTGTCTTTTTTTGTAATTATTTTATTAAATTTTTACTGGTGTCAGTGCAACTTAAGTACAAATACATGAATTTGAACTTTCAAAAATACACCAGAAATGATACAGAAGCATAAAAAACAAAACAAAACATAACAGTAGAACAGGAACCAAAATTAAATTAAAACAAAACAAAGAAGAAAAAAATAAGGCTAATACTTAAGTAGGCTTGTTTAAAGGTTGGAGAAGGGAATTTTACACATACAGTGGGTAGAATAAGTATTGAACACGTCACCATTTTTCTCAGTAAATATATTACTAGAGG